ATTGGCAATTTTTTAGCATATGTAGCTGCTTTTATTGTGACTAGTGTTGTCGATTGTTAAGCTTGCGTGGCTGAGTGGATAAGGCGTGAGACTCAAAATATCTTGATTGCAGTAGGTCGCATATTCGAATCCTACACGTAGCCGAGTTTTTGGTAATTCGAAGCTTATTTCAGCTTTTTCTTTTTTCACTTGAGAGAGCTGCTTTTGGTCGTGTTCTCGGAAGTGTTTGCGAAGCACAGCTTCGCCTCTGCTGATCAGAGGGACAGATTGAAGTTCTTTATGGCAATCTAAAGCTTAAAATAAAGTGAAAGCTCGTCTGCACACGCTACCATTGCTATTATAGGGGTGAAAACTCGACGTGACTTTTCAATAATGTTTTTCGTTCGCTTAAATGTTAGGTTGGGCTTCAATACGTCACAGTAGATTTTCGAAGCTTTGTAAAAGCGACATATTGTAACAAGCAACAAATGACATCCATGATAACCACCTGGTATCAATGTTTTTTTTTCGATGCCGAACGGTTGAAAGTTTAGTCCAGAAACAGAATTTCTAAACCAAAATTAAAATGCAGATTCTGCGATATATTGCTTAATTGGTTTTTTGATTTTTTTGGCAACTCAGACAATCGTAATTGTATTTTCTCATACTTTTCTGTATTTGGTGGCCTTTTTCTGTATCTTATTCCAACGCGCTTATTCTCAGCCTAACTTTGTTCTCGCCCAATAAATTCATATGTGCACCCATAGCTCCTCTGAAAGGCACAACGATAACCTTCCACTGAATTTTTGTTTTTGTCCCCTTGCGTTCAAACTGATTGCACAGTCCTGGCGATGTATGGTGTTTTGAGCGTAACTTTAGACCGATTCATAAGTTATAAATAGACTTCATTTTCTTATCGAGTGATAGAAGTTTTCGGCCAGTTGATTAATCAAGCATTTCAGTCCGAGGTCCAAATTACCTTAAAGAATAACGGCAAGTGCGATACTTGATTACAATCGAAGTAGGTGTTGTTATTAGATATATAAAGGTGGCGAAACAGCTCATGCACCCTTTGATAATTGCACGTTGAGTGACATATCAAAAGGTATTCATCGATGCTTTTTCTGGTTTTTACCGGCTCCAGGAAAAGGTTAAGCTTTTTTACAAGCTCTTCTGTTTTGGTGCTCAGTATTTTAGCTGATAAAAAAGTAAACCATTGGAAGTGTCTACTCGTTCGCTTGTACTGTACATACTCGATTGAAAAGTCTGGGGCATAAGTGTATGTTCCATTTGCATTCCAAGTTGTGTTACTGACCAGCATGTTAAATTTTTCTTCCAACAAGAAAACTAATATCTGCTGTCACTGAAGGGTTCTTGTAATAGGCATGTATTTACTCACCACACCTTGAAGGCATCTGTGGAGACTTCGTATAATTGCGCTCGGGGTTTCTAAAGTGGATTTAGACTTCTTTTTAGTAGCAAACTTCACATTGAATAAAGCGGTTTGAAGTATTCGTGTTAAACCCCCGAAAAATTAATAAGTCGTTTTTTCCGTCCGTTATTTTGATTCAACCCACAAAATTTTCCCCCGTTTCTAACAGAAACGCACATTTGAGAAAACCGATCAGAGATGAAATCCCCGAATAAATTGATTGAGTTTGTGGGTGCTGGATATGTGCACCCATATCCCTCTGAAAGGCACAAGGGTAGCCTTCCATCTTTTGTTTTTGTTCTCTTGCGTTCAAATTGATTCCACAGTTCTGGCGAAAGGAAGTATATGCATATGTATCTGAATATTTATGGTGGTTTGAGCGAAACTTTGGACCAGTTCATAAGTTAAAAACAAATTTTATTTTCTTAACGCGTGATAGAAGTTTTCGGCCAGTTGATTAATCAAGCATTTAAGTCCGAGGTCCAAATTACCTTAAAGAATAACGGCAAGTGCGATACTTGATTGCAGTCGAAGTTGGTGTTGTTATTAGATATATAAAGGGGTGAAACTGAGCTCATGCACCCTTTGATAGTTGCATGTTGAATGACCGATTGAAAGGTATTCATCGATGCTTTTTCTAGTTTTTACCGGCTCCAGGAAAAGGTTTAGCTGTTTCTCACAAGCTCTTCTGTTTTGGTGCTCAGTATTTAAGCTGATAAAAAAGTAAACCATTGGAACTGTCTACTCGTTCGATTGTACTGCACATACTCGAAAGAAGAGTGTGGGGCATAACTTTATGTTTCATCCGCATTACAAGTTGTGTTACTGACCAGCATGTTACTGACCAGCAACAAGAAAACTAATACCTGGTGTCGCTGAAGGGTTTCTATAATAGGCATGTATTTACTCACCACGCTTTGAAGGCATCTATCTGTGGTGACGTCTTATAATTGCGCTCGGGGTTTCTAAAGTGGTTTTAGACTTCTTTTTAGTAGCAAACTTCGCATTGAATAAAGCGGTTTGAAGTAATCGGGTAAAACCCCCGAAAAAAAAAGTCGTTTTATTCGTCCGTTATTTTGATTTAACCCACAAATTTTCCCTCCATTTCTAACAGAAAAGCGCATATGAAAAAACCGATCAGAGACGAAATGTAGTATCAAACATTTCATACTCTCAAACCTTAGGCTGATAAGTCAAATGCTCATGCTACCCATGGCCGAAGTTATTGGGAATTAAGCATCTGAAAAGCCTGTACGGCAAAAACATGAAAAGAATTTTTAAAAAAATACGATGAAAAATTGCCGCAGACACGTTTTGCAATAACGAACTCTTAACACTAAAGACAGCCTTTAATGAAGAGTATAGCATTGTTGAAGTGCTAGAAGTGTACTGTTACAATAGTCTTTGGCGCTTATTTGAAACCTTTACTATCAAAATGTACAGTTTATTTCCTGTTTTTTTTTTCATTTTGAATACTGTGAACCTGGAAATTGCAAGATTTTAGAAATAGCCTTCAATCTGCTATGAGATCTGTTATTAAGAGTGATGAACGTAGTGAAGACTCTTATATAGGTCTTGCTAATTTTTTTTGTGTTTTTTTTTCAGGAAAAAGTCTTACAATTTGTTCACGCTCAATTTTGATTTTTCGCGGTTTGACTTGTGATTTCTTTGTAAGTGCAGTGCATTTGTATTGTTATAAGGAAGGCAAGCTCCACTATCGACCACTTCTAATTTTGAAAATGGAAATTATTTATCAGATTTTAGCGAAATAAAATTTTTACCCAATTGATCCATTATTTAAATTGGGTCAATTTTAACTAAAAAGTGTCCATCATAAATTGTTCTACAATTTCAAAGAGTTTTAAGGCCATCTAATTTTTTATCCGAAATTCAAAAGTTGAAGATTTTAATAAAAACAAGTCGGGTTTTTTTTTTCAGTTTCGTTGCGTTCATTACTCTTGTCCAACTCAGTTGGCTATGTTTTTTTATACGTTGAATTACGAAAAATATTAAAAACTAACTTTTTTCATTCCGTTATACGTTTTTTTTGCTAGCTGTTTTTTAAAGAAAGGTCTTCAAAGGTAATTATGAATTTTCGAAAATTGCGTTTTATTGTATGTTGAATAAACATGCATATCTGAATCATCTACATATCAATTAAGACCGCACATTTAAGAGTTCTAAATTCCGAGAATTTCGCATGATAGCAAAGTTGTCTACAGTAGAAAAAGTTTAGGGTCATCGCAAGGGTAATCATCATTCCTTAGATCACTAATTATTTTCTTCAATTTTTTTTGAAAGCCTATCCCATTGCGGATAGGCAATGGGATTTGTTAAATAACAAACCAAAATAAGAATCTTAAAATCTTAAAAAATGATCCAGATTAATTTTCGCCCATATACAAACTACATATAGGGCGTACTTGAAACTCAAGCTGTTCATGTCATCTAAACCACTACATTAGTTTCACTCAGTTTAAGTTTTTTTTGTCTAAACGATCTGGAGTTCAGAAATTAATGATTCGTGCTTTTTTTGGGTTGATCGCCTGACTTCGTTTTGCGTTTGAATATATCTAAGAAAAACTGTTATGGATTTTGTCCCTCAAAAAAGTTATAAATGGCTTTTTAATCTACTAGCCACTATTTGGGGTGAGATAACAAAAAAGCTATTATAAAGCCGACAATTAAGATTGGCGCTGTTTTTTGATGACACGGAGTGCTTTCAAGTCTTTTGGCTTTCGTCTCCGCTCTTTGTTTGGTCTGACTTTCCTCTGGCTTCTGCTTGATACTTTTGTGCGCCTTTACCTTGAAACCTCTCATTACTAGGTAAGATTGCATTCTGACTGTTTGTCCGGTCATGAAAGTATCTTCAATCCTGCCCACCGAAGCATGTTTATTTCTGAGAGTTAATTTTGCATAAAGTATGCATTTCATACAAACGCGCAAATGAAATTGTAAAATTGGTTTTGACATTTTTTATGCGGGAATGCATTTGTATGCTGTTAATTACAGAAACTAATGTTTTAATTCATTTTTAAATAATACTGTTAAATCTAGGATATACTCAAATCCATATTTTCTCTCCCCCCCCCCTTAAATCGATTTGGGGGGGGGGGGGGTGTGAGTTTTACGGTTGATCTCTCTTTGCCTTTAGATTATCAAATATTATTAATTAATATTTATAATATTTAAAAAGTTTTCTTTTGAACGATCAGAACCCAATTTCAAATTTAATTTAAAATACAAAAATAGGCTAATTGATTTTTTTTACAAACCGATTGTTTTTTATTGAAAAAGTATCGACCAAGAAACGTTTTTTGAAAAAACAAGATAAGGCACCAAGGCCAGTGTCTACATGGAACTCAAAAATAAATCAAAGTTAATTTATCACGTTTCCAATTGATTACACGTTTCCAACTTTTGTTATGCTTGATTGAACTTAAAAAAGAATATTATTGACCATGATTCAAATAACGAAAGCAATATATCTACATGTAGTTTTTGCTATCATATTTTGAAGTCGAAAATAAGTTTTATGAAAATGACAGACATTTTATAAAAATCTATTTGAAAAAATTGTCTGTTTTAGACACTTGATTCGCTTTCTTCCACGCATGAGGCAGTTAAGAGCATCAACAGACTAACGGAAGAAGTATATAAGGTTTGTAATTTCTTTCTTTATATGACACCGAATGAATGCTATCACTGTTTCATAGATAATTTTTACGATGCGATTTTTTAGGCGGAGGAAAAGTACATTTCAAAGTGTTTTGACAAAGAGAAGCTGGCCAAAACTTCGACCAAGAGCAGCGGGAAAGACGTTGAAAAAGCCGAGACGGTAGTGCGAAAAACAAGTCAGTATTCATTTCAACCTTGAATTTGAAATTTAAGATAGGTGCTTGAAAAGAAGTCAACTCTTTTTAGTGGATGAATACAGAATGGTGATTGATCGCTACGGGAAGAGCAAAAATGTATTTGTGGAAAAATTTGCTTCGGCTACTGATGTGAGTAAGCTATGTTTAATACTTATCTTATTACGATTGCTACTAGCAAGTGTTATCAAATTAGAACAAGACTGCTCGTATCAGGGCGAAGCCCTGAAAGTTCCGAGTGCCTTTTAACGTTTATGGAGCAGTAATAACATAAACAACATAAAAAAAATGAATAAAATAAAATAAAATGAAAAACTTTTCTAAAGTTTGAAAATTTTTCTATGAAAATCATCCCCCCACACGCAATATAAAGTACAAAAGGATAGATTTCGCTCCTTGTAACAAATCAATTATGGCAAATAAGCTTCTTTCAATGAGTGAAATATCTTTTCAAATTTAAGCTCAGGACAACAATACCTTTCGAAAAAAAACCCACCCGAGTACAAATATTCCGTTACTTTCGTATCAAAAGTCGGAACAACTAGTTGAACAACTAATTTGTTGAACTATTAGTTCAACAAAACTATTTGAATCATTTTTCCCGGTCATTGCCTATTTTCTTTCGGCTAGCCGCCGTGATTATGGCAATGTTTAGCAGAAGGAATTTGGCAATACAATTGATATGATTGGGTTCCTAAGATATAGTAAATTGACGCAGCATAAAAACTTTCCGCTTGCACATTTTCTGCTTTTCTGGCTTCTGTTGGCTCATCAAAAAAAGTTGCCCGGCCAGATTTTAATTTAAGGGCTTTTGGTAACCCAACACTCCTAGCTCTGACAAGAAAAAATGTATACATATTACAAATCTAGCCTGGTCTGGAATAGTTGGTTATCCTGACTGAATAAAACGAATAGATTTTTGTAAATATAAATAATTTATAAATGTTCTGCTTGAAAGAGTTGCATATAGGTTTTAATCTGGATCAGCAGCTGTTCTCCGTTAAAATTTATTCCAATTGTTAATTGATGTTAGTGTGAAAACAATAGCAGAAACATAAAACTTGTATCAGAAAGGGGATCAAATTAACATCCCCCCCCCCCCAAAAAAGACCAAATTAAGATCCTCCACCCCAGCGCTTAATATAAATTAAATTTGCTATGTGCTGCATGTAAAATGCTCGATTCTGATTGGCTGAAAATTCTCAACTTAGAACCAAGTTAACATCCTCCCCCCTAAAAGTGTTTAGGGGGGAGGATGTTAATTTGGTCCCAGAAAGGTAGTTTACTTATCATCTCGGTTGTTTAGAAATTCCAAGATCTGGAGACTGGTCACTTGGAAAACATGAAGGGCTATTTGGACCAATACATTGACGTCATCGAGGAAGGATTGTCCTATGACTACCAGGTTTCTGGATTCTTGCTCGAGAAAAATTTGAAAAAGAAGATTACATCAAAATTTAATCTCATTGATTTGCGTCTCTTAATTGTTCCGACCATTGAAAATGGGGAGGAACTTGGTATTCCGGTGTTTTAGATTTCCTCTTATCCACGCAAAAATCAGGTACCACAAATAATCATCGGAATGGGTTGAATGATGTATCATATTAAAGCCCTTTCAGTCGTGATGCGAACAACATTAAAAACTTTTAAAAAAAGTTGTTCCAGTGTCGGGAAAATCGGATTGAACTTTGAGATATTTAGTCTCATTTCGAGCGAGTAACACGATCGAGTAACGTTTGTTTAAAGTGATAGAAATTAAGATAAAAAACCTTGATGTTACTTGATGCATTTTTCATGTTTTATGTTGTTTCATTTTTTGAAGATGACTGTTGTCAGTTTTGCCTATATCGCAATTTTTTTGTTTTTATTGTTCCGACCATTTGAAAAATGTGAACGAACTTGGTATTCGGGTGTATTTTAGCTTTTTTTTATTTCAACTTGATTTAAACTTTGATTTCAACCACAAATAATCATTTCAGGGAGTTGAGGTATATATCAAATGAAATCCCTTTCAGTCGTGATTCGAACGACATAGAAACAATTTTTCCCAGTGTCGAGAAAAACTGAATTGAAATTTTTGATTTTTCGTCTTCATTCGAGCGAATAAAGCGAGCGAGCAGGCTTAAAATAGCTGAAATGCTTACAATAGCTTGCTTACTTTACCACGTAAAAAATCAGTTGTACTCGAGAACGTTAATTTTGTCTTGAGTTTTTAGCGTCTTTTTGGCGCCTCAGAAATTCAAAAAAACTGTAAAATATAATGATTTTGATTTTTTTTTTGTTTTTCTAGTCTTTTTTCTGCAAAAATTGCTTTTCAATTTGCTGATTCTCCCATGACTGTCGAATATGCTAGTGTCTAGTTTTTCGTTCAGCTCCTTTTATCACACCACGCCGAAACAAAACGAACCTAACTTGCAAATAAAAGTGTTCATTAAAAGTGTTCACTTATTTGGAAATTTCACTCTAGCATTAGAAATTGCATAGCGTCTGTTCTCTGCTTTACTAATGGCTGGTGTTCCTATTATTTATGCCTATTAAGCGTCCGTGGCTGAGTAGTTAGTGTTACGCTCTTAATTTCTAGGTCGAAGGCTGGAATCTCAGACATGGCAGGTTATTTACTAATTCGAGACTTATTTCCATTTTTTCTTATTGCAATTTATAGAGCTGATTTTTGTCGTTCTCGCAAGTGTTTGCGATGCGAAGCTCAGTCTCTGTGTTTGAGGCTATGATTGGAAAAATTCTGTGCTACTTGCACAGTAACCGTCTATTCTTGTTATTGTATGAAATTTTGTTGTCAAGTCGGATCGGAAACTTACTCCGGCCAACAACGTGTCAAACAGAATCATTGAATCATTTGTTAACTTGGTTTATTATCCTTGTGGTGAATGTGGTGGGAACATTCTGAGCTACATGCACAGCAACTGGCTACCCTTGTTTGTAATTTGGATTTGATTCGATAAAAAGAAAATTTGTTGTCATTTTTTATTTGTTATTTTTTTCTCAAGAGGGGTTTTTTTCATGTTAGATATGCGTGGATTTAGGCGACAATCGATTTCAAGGAGCATCAGACACAGTGGAGTGTGGATCAGCTTTTGAGTGAGTTTGTGCGGGTGAAACACACCGGAGAGGAGAGACCTACAGAGATGGAACAGGTGGTGTTCGATGGGGACACAGCTGCGCCCAGAAAAGAGGATCACGACAAGGACAAGACCAAGTCACCTGTCCAGAACGGTATGTTGGTCACGTGTGGTACTATTTTTTCAAAAAACTAAAGTGAAGCTGCACAAAAGTAGATATAAGCTTCTAATCATGGTTATGAGCAAAAAAATAGGTTGAATAAACAACGTGATTCAATGATATATTTGAGTTTGTGCCGAAATGGTTGGCGAAAAAAATATACACCTTGGCACCTGCAGAAATAAAATGAATTGTTGTCGATATAATGCAATTATATTAGATGACTTTGATGCAAACATTGGGTCGTCCGATATTCGTGATCGACCTTAAAAGTATCTAATTATTCAATTTCTATTAAAAGGAAAGTTTTGAAACTTCTGGCCAAGCTTAGGACTTAATGCATATCAATACTCTCGTTCAGAAGAGAAAGGAACATTACTGAATGCACGAAAATTATTTTGTGTTTTCATTTAAAAGTTTGGTTGATTGCTAGGTCAATTAATTAATAATTTGCTCCGCCAAAAATTTACCAATATCTTTCCGAGGGAATGATGCCCATTATATGATTGCAGCTCGGGCTCTTCATTTAAAAAAAAATCTAAGACGAAATCAAAATGAAATAAAAAATAGTTTTAAATTAAAAAATGGTATAATTTATGTCGATGGGTTAAAACCGCTCCTTCTCACTTGTGAAAATTTGTCCCATTTTTAGACGAGTACTACAAGGAGATGATTCAGAAGATAGTTCCTCCGCCTCCGCCTGACGACCAACTACTCGTCAATCAGAAAGACTCCAAGAAAGGTCAGTCCCAACTCTTGTTGCATTTTCAAGTCAGCATTACGTTTTCAAGACAATTATCCGTATATAAGTAGTTGTTCTGCCTTCAAGAGTTTGGCCAAGTAAGGCATATCGAACTGATGCGATATCTTTGTTGAGTTCAGAATCGTATCTTTACAAGCTTTTCATTTTTGATTGCGCTTTTTGAAATAAAAAACCCCGGAAGCAGGAAATAGTCAAAAGTTCCAGCTCAAAAATTGGATCAGCCGATAAGAAAACATTCGAAAGACTGGGGAGAACTGCAGCGCAGCGTACGGTGGTTTCCGGGAAAATTTTTATTACTCATTTAAAAATATTTTCCAATATTCACCGCTGATTTTTATTTTCCAATATTAATTAACTTTTTCCGCTCGCGGTTTGACTTTTGATTTCTTATCAAGTTCAGTTTATTTCCTTTGTTAAAAGGAAGGCAAACTGCACTATCGACCAGCGAAAGTGTAGTAACGAAGTGACCGACTTCTAATTTAGAAAGTGGATTTTACTTATCGAATTTCCAGCCAGCGAAATAAAGTTTCACCTATTGATCCAGCTTTCTCAAATTGGGCGGATTTTTTTCAACTGTCTGTGGTCTATGTTTCTTCTATTTGATTCAATTGAAATTGAATGTTTGACTGCACAGTTTCTAGATAGTTGTGATTCGTTTTAGCGCATGCTTCACTTGTTAGTTTTGAACTAGCTAGCTGCCATTGGAGCGAGGTAAGAAGAGCACTCATCTGTCCTATGGTAACAGGCTTCTCTAAAATGATTGTTTGCTTTGATGTGTTCAGTTGTGGGTTTGAATTATCTCTGCCATCTAACTCTTTAATTTTTGGCTTAATTTTAACACGTGAGGTTTCTATTAATTGATTAAGCCTTGATTCAAGTGCATCATTATTGGGAAAACAAATTTTAACTGCATATTAACATACAGTTTAAAAATCGGTTGAAATATTTTTATGAAATAATTTGAATGATGTTAAAAGAAGGCAGAAATGTTAACAAATAGGAGAATTGAAGTTGAAGACATCTTTGTGTTAAAAATCATGATTTAAAGTCAGAGGTTTATATAGATATATTAGAACAATTAAAGGATACTCGTATACCAATTTTCTTGCTGTTCCGACTTTCGATACGAAAGTAACGGAATATTTGTGTTCGGGGTGGTTTTTTTTTCTTCAGACAAATTTCGACTTTTTAACTAGCCATTTTTGACGAAAATTTTTTTTATCATTCGAAAGGTATTGTTGTCCTGAGCTGAAATTTGAAAAGATATTTCACCTGTGATCATTTTTCGTAGAGTTACAAGGGTTTAAATATTGCCATTTGGGCCAATTTGGGACAATTAACGCGCGATATATTTCGCGCTATTAACGCGTAAGCGGAGATTTAATCCGTCTTAGAAATCGTTCCAAAATGGTTGAAAGAAGCTTATTTGCCATAATTGATCTGTTACAAGGAGCGAAATCCATCCTTTTGTACTTTATATGGCGTGTGGGGAGAATGATTTTCATAAAAAAATTCAAATTTTAGAAAAATAAAATTTCCATTTTGTTTTATTACGTTCAATTTTTTAATGTTATTACTGCTCCATATACCTTAAAAGGCAGTCGGAACATTCAGGGCTTCGCACTGATGCGAGCAGTCTTGTTCATGTTTGAAAATCAATCAGAGCAGACCAGTTTCGTTTAAACCACCGTCTAAAATTTAATTAAACTATTGCACCAGTTGATTTGCTGACTGTATTGGCCAAATTGAATCTGTTCAATTGAAAAGTGTACAATCGTGGTGGACAAAAGTTCATTGCGGAGTTCCTCTACTTAGTCTATGTTTCTGATTTACATTAATGATTTTCCATTAGCGTGTAAAAGCTGTAGTTTTGTCTTTGCCCATGATACTAACAAACATGGGTTATCTTGCGCAAATCATGAATTTAATAATGATTTGGATAAAGTCTCTTGGTGGTTAAAGGCAAATAAGTTAAGTCGAAACTTTAAAGAAACAGTGCAAGTTAATATAACAAGCAATAGGACTTCTAACGTTCGAATTTTTTTGTAACTGGAAAATTCCGAAAAAAATCATGCAAATACATGGGAATATTATTGGTATCAAAATTTATTTTCCGTAAGCACATCGAAACAGTACATGCAGTTGCGTCGACAACGCGGAATCTTTTAAGTTTAGCATTATGTTTCTCGAAGGGTGTTACTGCTCCACTTTGATTCAAATATAAAGTCTGTTTATCAATACGATATCCTCATCTATGGTTATAAAAGCTGCAATGACTTCCTTAATTTAGAGAAGATGATAATTCGTACCAGAGTTTTTGAATGAAAAATCAAAAAACGGTTACAGCTTTATTAGGCAAAAAAAAGGAATTTTAACTGTTCATGAGCTATATCCTTACGAACTATTGAAGTTTTTTTTCGATCTTTGGCCAAACTGCAAACATTGATGATCATTTGAATAATTTGTTTGAATTCATTGTATGTAATCGAAATACCAGATCATTCTCAAAAGGGCTTTTGAAAATACTTTTAGTCAACTAATATGCAAAAGTTTTCAAATACAACAGCGAGGATCTAAGCTTTTCATTTTTTTACAAGAAATTAATTTAGTTCCATTAGAGTTGCAAATCTTGCATGAATTTTTGGTTTAATTTTAGGTTTCCTGAAGAGGATGAAAAAGGAAAGGAGGAGCAAGAAGAAACAGAGACACTCTTCGAACACTTCCTCAGCTGACTCGACCAGTCTGAAGAGTCCGATGACGTCATCAATGGGAGGCCAAAGTGCAACTAGTGTGGCAAATGAGTTCGACTACAACTCTGCAGCTGTGCAGTCTTACAACAGGTGACAAATTTTGAAGATAATTGAGTTTTTGTGCAATGTAATAAGTAACAGAACTTCAGGGGAGTTTTCTGTTATTTCGTGGCTAATTTTTTGCTGTGCCATTTTAAATTTAATCAAGTCTACGCTGGAAATATCTTACAACGTAGTGTTAAGTTTGCGAAGGGCTCCTCAAATTATTAAGGAAGCGATTCTGGTTGTTTTTTTTCTGTGTGGTTTCAACGTAAATCAATACCGATAAAAAAGTGCATGTCTGAGGCAGAATTAAAGGAAATTTTGTGTTTAAGGAACACCAGTGTAGACTCGGAAGGATATAGTTTGAAGCCGAATGAAGAGATGAACAACCGAGAATCAGGCACCAGTTTCTACTCAAGCTCCGAAGACGAATCCGCAGATGAGGAAACGAACAAGTTCAACAGCAGTTCAGGATCTACTCTCAAGTTCTCAATTAGACCACCCAGTGTAAACCTGGCGCCATCCATGGACGATTTGAGCACAACGGCTAAAAATCTGACTCTGGAGAAGTCTCCTCGCATGCCGAGAAAGGGTCTGAGTACAGAAGTGAACAATGATAGCAGTGCCAGTTTGTCAACAATGAATACAGAAGACAAAAGGTTACTAGAAGTGTCAAGCGAAATAGCTCTCAGCCAGGCTAATAGAAAACAAGCCCTTTGATATATATGCTAGTAAGAGGCTACCGACTACAGTTTTTAATCGGACACCAATTAAATCATAACTAACTCCGGTCAACAACTAACTTGTTAAACAGATTCATTGAATCATTTGTTAACTTGGTTTATAGTCAACACAAGTTTGAATTGGCGCAGTTTAACGGCCTTATTGGGTATGGCAAAAATAGGATTTTCGAGTCCGTTTAATATTTTTAAAGACAAATTCGATAATGATCCGATCTTCTTCAAAATTATTAATGTCAAATAACATAGTAAACGGATAAAGTTCAATTCGTGTTTTTGCTATACAGAAGGTAAATAAATTACGCCCTCCAATTAAGAACGTGCCAATGGCGAGGAAAAAACGTGAATTACTCTGTTTTGAAATGACGTTATATTCTTAAGGTTTTCTATTGCAAAGAACAAATTCCTATTGATCCAATTATCTCAATTTGGGATAGTCTAAAAAGTTTCAACTATGAACGAATCTCGAACTTAGAGCTTTAAGGTGATTACTCTTGTGATAAGCAAGGGTATTCCAATCGTGTACTAGACTTTTTTTCCACATTGCAGTATTTTCAAAAAAAAATTTATATTATAGCTGCTTTTAGTGTTCTGATTTATCTCTGCTGTTTGTAATTTTACTAACCTTGACGTATCTTTTCTGTTTTTTTTTGCTGAAAAATTTTATTCTGCCCTAATGATTTCGGCCTATTTTTTATCGGCTTAGTGACCTAACATCGTTTCGTTTCAGCAGAAACATGTTTTTTATACTCACCTCTGCATCGCACAAAATGCCAATAATCTTGAACGAAGTTATATTTTAAGTCTTTCATGGCAACAATTTTTTTCGGCTTTGCATTTTTCTCCTTTTTTCGGCTTGATAAGTTTCGGCTTATATTATATCGGCTTATCGGTTTCATATTGCGACGAGCGAAAAAAGTTTGTGTCTATGTTTTGAGGGTGAGGCAGATCTAATAACTTCTTAGTCTTATTTTTTTTTTAAAAAAATTTTGCCTTTTTTTATTTTCCTTTGTTTGGGCTCAATAGGTTTCGACCTATTTTATATTGTCTCAGTGGCCTAATTTTGTTTTATTTGACGAGCAAAAAAGTTTCTCGAGTGTTTCTTTTTTGAGGTCGAGGGGGACTCATTAACTTTTCAGACTTAAGTTTTGTTGATTTTTTTCGGCTTTAATGGTTTCTGAGAAGGTATGTTCGTCTTCCGATGCTTATTTCTCATTCAATTTTCTTGGTATGTTTTATTTTCAAATCTAGCTTTTTCGTATTGATTGATCTAATTTTTCAATTTTCGAATTTTTCGAATTTTTTTTTTCGAATTTTTCTTAAAATTGTTTCTTGTTTTGTATCGCAAGTGCTGCGAAGCTTAGCTTCGCCTCTGTGTACATTTTTTTTCGACCACTGAAAGTGTCCAAGAATTTTGTCTCTGTGTTGAAACAGAAGTACCGAATTCTAGTGGTGGACCATATGTGCTGTGCAAAGCGCCGTAAATGGCAATCACCCACCCTCCCCCATCAGGGCAGCACGAAAAGCATGCTCTGCTCGGACTAGGTTAAGGAGCTTCCTTTGTCGGCCGGATTGCTTCGTCTAGTATTTTTAAACCCTATAGACTTGTGCCTTCTGGTGCTAACAAGAACACGAGCTTTTTCTTTGGCTGTTTTTCCATTATTTTACCCTGCAAATTCTATTACAGCAAATAATCATCAGAATGAGCTGAGTGATTTATTATTTTAAAGCTTTTTCAATAGTGATATCATCGACATTAAAAAGTTCCGAACCATTTTTCCCCTGTCCATAAAAAAAGATGGCAGGGACTTTTAATCTGTTTCAAAAAACTCGGTATGGACTTTTAAACCTAAATTTGAAAAAAGAGTAAATACGTTTTTTTTTAATTATAAGTTTTCTTTTCAATAAGATTGTTCAGAACATTCTGTGCTAATTGCACAGCAACCGGCTACTCGTTTCAAAAATATTCAGTCGTTTTTTTGTAGTTTTATGTCCATTGTTTTTTTCTGGATTAAGTTTGTAAAATAAATCTTGAAGTCAAATAAGTTGTATGAATAACAAGTGTGCTACGGAATGCATCGAACATCTTTTAGAATCCCCTCAAATTTTCTTGAATAATTTGATCTGCAAAGTTTTACGCAACATGGACTATGTCAGTAAACAAGTGCATGTTTCATTTTTCTTTAAGTTATGGTGGAGCGTCCAAGCAAGAACCGAAGCTCGTTAATGACTTCGACTCTCCGTCTTCCTTCAGAATGCCAGATATACCAGGGGGAGCTATGGGCTCATTTGGTATTGGGTCCATTACTATGGACAACAACTATGGCCAAATGGGGGCCACGAATTACGACCAATACTCGTATGGTGGAGCGCAGTCTTCTTACCAGCAACCGTATACAGAGAGCTCCTACGGTAGTCCAGATTACGTTTACTCAGAGAATGACGCGAGTCCGATGGCATATGAGGGCTATACTAGTGGAGCTGTTAGTAATGAGAGTTATTACAGCAGTGATGTTCAAAATGCGGCTGTTTATAATCAGAACGTGGATGCTCACTCGTACTATTCTGCACAAGGTTTGTTCATGTTGATGAAGTTTTTTTTTATTTTGACAATTTGCTATGATCTAAATTGATAAAAATCAGCTACCAATAGTTTATAATGATTATGCTGAATAGTATCATTTTCGACTAAACCTGAAATTGCGAGAATGGAGTTGCAATTATGACTCTTTTTTTTAGCGCGAGACAGTTACGAACCAAACTCGAGCGATGAAGACGATGCAGGATACATTCCTCCACCTTCGATTCCACCTCCCAAATTACCCCCTTCCATTGCCAATGCCCTGACAGCCATAGAAACTAAACCTGCTCCAGTAGAATCTAATACTCCATCTTCTTACGCTTATGCATCAAATAGCTATAATAATAATACGACACAAAATAATGAAAAGTTTGCACAGTCTGAACATGTATATGCACCAAACAGTTATAACAACTCGAATTCTGTGAGCTATGAGACGTCGACCAGTAAACAAGTAACAGAAACTGTTGGAAGTGGAAGTGTGGCAACTTCGAATGATTTCGACGCGTTCCAACCGCGCGAGAGATCCTCAAGTGTAGATTCGAATAGCTCAATGATGTTCTCGAACGTGCCGGCGAACTCATCAAGAGGTCCCAGTCCTCTGACAGTGGGTACCTCGGAGAGTGTGCCGATAGCTGTGGCGTTTAGTGAGACTGTGCATGCAGTGGTCTATTCGAAACTACCTCCTTCATCGTAAGTATTTTTGATTGATTTTTAGATGCAATTAAGTTTTTTTTCAGAGTGTCTTAACAATAGTTCTCTTAATGCCTTACAACTGTATGTTGGCTTTGTTTGATGTGTTTTGGAAAGGTGCGATATTAATGATTTTACGGAAGTTTAGTGGAACTGAAAGTCTACTTATTTTTTGAAGTTCAATGCTGCTTCTGCTGAACTGTTTTCACCTTCAACTAAGGCATAATTACACAAGCGAAGCGTACTTATTGCGAAGATTTTTTTAACATCAGCTAAGCGTTATGTTTTATTACGAAGATTTTGTTTTCTAACCGAAGTCGCAATTAAAAGTGCTCATTTGGTGGCATTTTTGATATATTTCAGTTTAATCATATTTAAGCTTATTATAGCATAAACATTTTAATGGCATGCGTTGCTGCTTTAGTTTTGGCTATTATTAGGTCCTGTTTGAAAAAATACATATAAAAGAATACATATGGGATTTGTTGTTTTTCGTTTTTTTTTGCGCCGCTTTGGAAAATTTGGCACTTTTTGCAGAAATTTCAATTTTTCTCAAAACTACTCTGCCGATTTTTAAGAGTACTGAACGTAGTGAAGACTCATATAGGTCATGCTGATTTTGTTTGTTTTTTTTTAGAAAAAAGTCTTGGAATATTAATGCGCTTCGGTATAATGCACTTTTTGAGTTCATTTGAAATTAATATGCTGAAAGTGACGTAAATAGCACTCTCCAAATACGAATGTGGAATTTAATTTTGAGATTTCCAGTGGAATATAAACTTTACCTGTTGATCAAGTTTTCTCAAATTGGGTTAATGTTATAAAAAAAGCGCCGTTCATAAATCGTTCTAGAAATTCAAAGAGCTTTTTTTTCTTTGAAAATCGAAAGTTGATATTTTTCAGCTAAATCAGTGTTTTTTTAATGTTTACTTGCGTTCATTACTCTTTTTCAATCTTCGATTGGCTATGTTTAAAAATTGGTACCAATGGGAAAAGTGGCTGCTCTTCTAAGTGCCTGCATATTTCGCTAGTCTCTCTTCATTTTACCTCACGTTCTACGGCCTTCAAAAGTTTCAGTAGAGGGATTTTTGGCCTGTTTGTTTTGATTTTTTTTCAATTATTAAATGCACAAATCAGAGACGAAGGTTTGAATAACAAGAACAAATGATTTGAATGTCCCCTTCTCAGGCGGATATTCCCCAAAACGCTTGAAAAAAAACATATGGCGTCAAACCAGCCTTTTTTTCGACATTTTGTTTAATTTTTAAAACTTAGACTTTTCTCAAAAAATACCCTGGCAAACTAGGGGTTTAATCAAAAGAAAAAATCAGCCATGTAAATTTTTTTGTGCAAATGGCTTTGCCCGGCGATTTGAAAAAAAATATGGCCTTAGAAACTGTCCAATTTATGAAATTTTGACCATTTTTTGAAAATTTTTTTTCAAACTTACCTGCTGATTTTGAGGTTGATAGTTCAATAAAGCGAATAAGTTTCTTTGATTTTCCCTGCGTAATTAATTTTACACTGTTTTTATTGTAGAAAAGCAGACATGGACTTCGGAATAAAAAACTTTTTCTAAATTTTTACCGTTATTTAGAAATTTCGTCATTATTCTCGAAAACTACAACTAAATCTGATATTAAGTGTTCAATCGAAAAAATCAGGCTGCGGAAAGCAGAGGTTAGTCCCATGCTTAAGATGAGAAAATCTATTGCGAAATGAAAAGTCAAATTTTTGATCGATTTTTGGAGTCTTCACTTTTTTTCGAAAACTACCCAGCCAAATCTGAGATAAAGACTTCGATTGAAAGAGAGAGTATTAGTTTTCTCCTTTAACTAAGAGGTTAATCCGTTACTTAAGCAGAGAAACAGAACCACTAGGGTTTAGCGTAAAGTCCATTTTTTGAAATTTTGAATACTCCTAATCAACAGTTCGGATCTTCCAATCCGGAACATCTAAATAGTTTTTTTTTGGTCGAATTTTTGCTGCATAACATTGGCATTTTGATAGGAACTGTTGCCGCTTTCTTTGTGGCTAGTGTTATTTAAATTACAAGCGCTCGTAGAGCAGATGTAAGAACGTGATACTTCTGAAATTTTTTTTCAAAGTGTATTTTTAATCTTATACTTATTTCAGTTTGTTTTGCCTGTTTAGAGCTATTTTTTGCATTTTCCTTGCGTGTTTGCGAAGCGCAGCTTCGCATCTGTGGAAATGCTTTTCAAATTAATTGAATTTATCTTAATCATTTTAGTTGGCAAGTAAAAGTGAATGGAACTATGGCCGTGTCTTTCCCAGCAGGCTTTGTCCAACTGCTAACTCAGTCTACCAAATACTTGGATGAACTCCGTTTCTCAGTGCTGAACTCGGGCCAACTCACGCGTGCAGTCGTCAACAGTGATATAGTTCAATCGTAAGAAAAACTTTTTCTTGCTACAACTCTATAAAGAGTGAGAATCAATTATGGCGGAGGGTTAATTTTTTCAGCCACTTTCGACCTCATCAAAGAACGCTTACAAAGGGCCCTTTTAAGTTATCTAATTAAAGCCCTTTCAGTCTTGATTCGTATTTTTTTAAATAATCAAGACAAACCGGTTTAAGAACAGTTCAGTCATTTATCTGACTGAAGATCATTTCAACGAACGGTTTTTCACTTGAAAGCATATGAACTTATAAGGCTTTCATATCAGGAGCTGTGTGTTCTTTTGCCAGAAAAGTCCCGATTGGATGAAAAATCTCATCGCCAAATTGTGTATATAGTAGAATACTTTCTCTTTTGAAAACGGCAAAATTAATAATGTAATCAAGCTTTTCCCATCCTTTTCCCCTTTGGCTCAATTCCCATTTCAACTTTGCCCTAGTTTACCCAATTTTGGGTTTTTTAATTTCAAATATTGACTAAATTACGAAAAAAATTTTGGCGGACCCGAGATTTGAACTTCAGACCTTTTGACCTTGAAGTTTATGGCTTCATCGCTCGGCCAAATGCGCTTTTAAATTTCAATTTGTTCTTGAAAGTTTTGTCTCACTTTGACTAATCTATGGCTAATTGGTACGCATAGAATCTATTTAAAGAACGATCAAACAACATCAAAAGAACAAAGCATTGAAGATCACAAAGTCAAGTCGAAGAAATTTCGCAAAACGGTTTCGGACAATTTTGTCTGGGACATAAATGTCTGGTACAATTTTATAATTTCGGACTGTTTTGTCAAGGACACAAATGTCTATGCACCCTCAGAAGATTTTAGATCAGAAATGTAGTTTACCACTTAGGGGGTTTTGAGCGATCAGAATTTATTCCTAAAAACAACAACAAGGATATCCGTTTGCTGTGGAAGTAGAGGAGGATATTCCGACCATATTCTGAAACGACTAATAAAAAAAATGCTTTCAATTTAATGTCGTTTTTTGTGTGTTGTGTCAAAGGATCTGAACGAGAGCCTAGAACTTAGGCATATTGGACATTATAGTAAAATAGGCAAATTGGACAACAGTTTGTGACGAAAAATGACTTTAAAAAATTGTGAAAATTTAGTTCGATGTTTATTCCCAAGATTATTTCAGTTCATGCGAGGGAGTGTACCAATCTCACGTGGAGTATACTTTCAAAATGGACGAACTGAAAGTAGAGCTTATGAAACAACACTCACAGAAGCCCACGTCGAGTTTCTTCAACATCGAAGTCCTCAAATACCAGGTGCTACATTGTCACCCATTTTCAAAATCAACAGCATTAATTCGAAACAATTTTTACACTCGCAAGTGCTTGTTATTTAACGAGTTTATTTTTTTGCAACTAAGCTCGCAATAGTTAAAGCATAACAACAGTGCTCAATTTCGGTATCTATCTACTACTCTAAGTCTATCTGACCATTTAATAGCACGTGTTTTATCCGCTTGAAGGCTGTTGTTTGGGAGATAGGGAGATTATATAGCACATTTATGAGGACCTCAGATATCAACTTTGATGTTTGAGGTTTGATTTCCGTGGGCGGCACTTTTATTTGGCGAGCTTATTTCTTATGTTTGTTTTCATTCATTTGAAGCTCCTTTTTGACATTTTTACTTGTGTTTGCGAAGTGCAGCTTTGCTTCTGTGTAAATTTTAATTTCTATTTCCAATTAATTACGGCTTTGCGTTTTCAAAAGACTGTGTAATGACGGAACAACTCTCGCTCGTTAGCTAGCGCCATTAAACGTAAGTCTATTTTAGATCGACGCCCTGGCTTACCATCAAAACTACCTCCCACTCCTTCTCAAAGCAGAATACTTGAACTCAACTCACAAGCAACAGAATTCAGATATGCCCGCAGCCATGTTGACCTCGAGCAGCAGCGAAGACGAAGACTATCTTTCTTCACTCTCCCAACACTGTCTCCGAGTCACGTTCGAGTACAACCATGATTGTGTGTGTAATAATTCGTCAGTAGTGGCTGCTAAACCACTGCTGAATGTGAACGTACTTGCCAAGCTTCAAAATGACGTTGATGAGTCCTTGTCAGTTCATGTGAGCAAAGTCGAACCATCGCCTCTGCTGTAAGTTGAAATCTGGATCTTGCCATAAAATGTTTCTCAAAGAACACTCGGTTGAAATGGCACGTTAAATTTCCTTGCAAAAAAAATTGTTATAAAAAAATACCACATTTTTTGGTGCAAAAAATTCAATGTTGCAAAAAAGATGTGATTAAGTTCGCTCAAAAATCTAGCGATACACTGCTTTTTTAAATTTCCGTTTCAATTTAACGTGCATTTTTTTAATTTGAAATATTCTCCAGCGATCAGCAAGTTTAGTACAGCTAGTTTTTATTCAGTAATGAAAACGGAAAAATAGTCTGGAAGATTGGAGCGATTTCGGTCAACAGTGACAGATCAGAACTATCTGTGCAATGGCTTTCATCTCCGTTGACAAATTTGAACAACCAAAACTCTCCTTTCGGCACTGATCAAAATGTTTCGCCCCAGCCGGCAGTTGCAGCCCAGTTCTCGTGTGAAGGTCAACTGCTGTCTGGTCTGGAGTTCGATCTTATCTCTTCGGGATACAGGGTTTCGCTGTATAAACAGAAAATACAAGCAGGTTAGCCTATAATTTTCATTATGCAAGATTTTTTTTTGAAATACGGGTTATATATATTTTTTTGTTTTCAAAAATGAACAAAAAAAATTAGTTTTGTTTTGGAAGACTATATTATTCATTCTTTTTAAAATTTTCTGTTGTTTTCTTGGGTAGGAAATAGAAACATTTAGATATTTTTCCTCTTCACATAAAACTTATGCGAATTTGAAATACTGCTGAAGTGCCCAGAACTAAAGTTAGAGCAATAAATCACATAGTTTTAGAGAACATTATTTAATTGTGTGTTTTCAGGAAAATATTTGTGCCACTGTTGAAATCGTTTGCTGAGAAAGCGTGGAGAAAATGGATTCTAAACAGCTGTCTGTGCATGTATAAGCAGTATAGCGAACTCACTTTAAAGAAGAAGACAATGCATCATGAATCTTGTTGGATCAGAGAATCATCACCGAATTTGTACTCTATAACTGTACCTGATCGATAATCGAAATCTAATTGTTCACAGCTTAAACTTTTTATGAAATGGAAATTGAGTCTTAAAATTATGTAAAACCTAAATTTTGAGAAATAGATTTTTTTTACATATAGACCTGAAATTTTTGGACGTTATTGGAATGAAATGATGAAATGCTCAATATCCGTAGTTCAGATATGTTAACATAAATTTAACAAAAGTTTTTTGAATTTTTGGCAATTGCAATTTTCGACGGCAATTTTTGCGACGAAAAACAAAAATACGCTTTTCTGAATTTCAGTTTTGCAAACAGGATTTTTTTAATCACGAAAATTAGCTATGCTTAAACTGGTTGCCAGAGTTTTAAATCGTGCTAGGTTAGCTTAACTGTAGCTCGAATGTGTTCTATAATAGTTTTTGAAGTCATTTAAAATTGTAATCTCCATGAAGTGTAATACTACTAGCTTCAAGTGTAGACGACGATTGTAGCTTCACGCTCAAAATTGCAGAATAAAATTATTACTCACTATTTGTTTTCAAAAATGTAGCTTAGCTTCAGTAGGCGATTGTAAGGTTGATGCTTGTGACTCAGCTTCTCCACTAGTGCGTTAATTTGTTTAGGATACTTATATTTGGCACCAGTAACCACTTGGCTCAATAAGATGGCGCTGACGAACTCAATAAGTCGTCACAAGTATTTTGCAGATTAAAATTAATTTAGTAATACTTTTGTTTTGGCTTCATGTCTCACGTGCCTTCTCTAAAAACTTGGTCTCTTAAAAAATTATTGAGCTGAATAGAAACATGTAAATTTTTATTGTTCTTAACCACACTTGCGTTTTAATTTTCAGATGAACTAAACAGCTGATTTTATCTGAAAACTGCATGTTTTATTTATTGGTTTATATTTTAACAGTTTTTCAATCTATCAACTTAGGTTACGAAAATATTCGGCTCCTAAGCTTCAAGTTCTGCAATTTAAAAGCTTCAATTTCCTACTAAAGAGACATAAACAGGAGACAAAATGACCGATCCGCTTGAATGCTGTATTTGTCTGGAGACGCTTGAGAACCCAAAAGCTTTAGATTGTGGTCACTCGTATTGTTCAACCCCGAAAGATTGCCTGCGTATAGTTCTAAGTAGCGATTCTAGAATGTGTTCAAAATGTCGAGAACCGATAGCTGCCAGGATCAGAAACGAGAACGACTTATCGGTCAATTACGATTTAAAAACCGCAATTGAGGTAATTCTCTAAAACTAGTTAATAGTAGGGAAATTTGACACTTCCAAGCCATCTATGTAATATTTCAAAATGATTGGAAAGTTTTTTTAGAGAACAATAGACTATCCTGATTCAAAATATCAAAAAAATGGTTAATAAAATCTAAAATAAGGAAACAATTTTATTAGGAGAAATTATTGCAGTTTTATGGTTCCATGATTTTTTCCCCAAAACCTTCCTAAATTTTTTATTTTTATTTGAGACTAACTTTTTGAGGGAAATTGCCTTTACACTTCACTTCATGCATAAAAGAATTTACTGTTTTCAGGCATCACAACAGAGCACATCAAGTGCTGTACTAGACAACCAAGCTGGACAAGACGTTTGCAGTCTTCACAAAAAAGCGAAGAAATTCTACTGCAAGAACTGCTCGGCCGCCATTTGCGAAGATTGTTGGAACCAGAGTCATCTAGAGCACCACGTTGTTCCGATAAACTCAGTACTCAAAGACTTAACTACAGCATCAAACGAATCTTGGAAACATGTTGAACAGTATCAAAACGATTACAAGCGATTGGTGACAAATTCTGTTGATCTAAACGAGGAAATTGTCTCTACTATTGAAAAACTCGAAAAGTTGACGGAGCTGAAAAACAAAATGCAAAGCGCACAGAATGTTCTAAATTTCCATGCATTCGAAAAGAAGTCTTTACAGGAACTGAATGAGCAGAAAGAAAAGGTTGAGCATATGAAATTAAGCATTTCGGAGTTGTCTAACTCGTGCACTGCGGTTGAAAACAGTTTGAAGAAAACGATAGCTTCTTTCAGTCAATGCAAAAATACGGGAAGTTCTCAGTTGAGGGCCAGCTCATCAGCATTGACCAGAAAAGCAAGGACGATCGGGGCTGAAAGATGGCAGCTTAGAGATATTCGCAAAGGCAGTGCAACCACCCTTGAATACATAAGAAATCCTCAGTTTTGTTCGCAAACTCAGGAAGTATTTGCTTTTGGTAGTAGCGCAGACACAGTGTTGGTTTTCAAAGTTCAAGGAGAATCTATTACAATGGACCGAAAACTGTCAGCTCATAGTTATATAGGTAAATTCAATTTTAGTTTTTCTAAATTTTTTTGTTGACTTTGAATCACGAGAAATTTGAACAAAAATGAAAATAGATACTATCGAGTTAAACGGATACTTGCACTAAATAATGTAGGGGGTCAATCAATATAAATAGCAGTTGGTCTGTTCAATGGTTTTATCTATCATCTAAGAATTAGTTGTCTAACCCTTTTTAAATAGTGCATTTTCTAATTTTGCTCGGCTTGATTTTTCCAATTAGTTAGTACAACAACAAAAATAGATAAATAGATGTAGCCTTGATCAATTCTCAGTATAAAAAACTCATATGGAATTCTGTTTTCTAATATTCTCTTTGAACAATTTGGTTGGATTACTTCTTTGATTTCTTTTTTGAAACATATAACTTTTTGCAAAAAAAACAAAAAAAGATGAAAAAAAAACTTTTTGTTCGTTTTTTGTATCAATGGGGATTGTACACAAAATTTTTAATGGCAACAAAAATTTCATCACAAAAAAAACCATTCGTAAAATCAAAATGTACACAGTGAACATAACAGTTTTTGTTCGAGAAAGTCGAGACATAAATCGAGCACCTCGACCCGGGTTGTTCAAACCCCTCCCTCCAATTCCTAGGAGGTACAAAAATCATAAAATTTATCCATGTAATTTTGTTGATTGTGAAAGTTACAAAACAATTCAATCAACAAGGTTTGTTTGGTTGATCTGGCTGGCTACCTATACTACGACGGCGGATTAGTTTCGATTTTTACAAAAAAAAGAGATTTGCTCAATTTCCCCTCTGCACTATTTACATACCCCCACGCTTAATCATAACCTTCCTTCATCTATCAAGTGATCAACAAGTGACTGAATTCTCAGCCTGAGTTTGTATGCAATGTAATTTCAATATGCTAAAATGTAATGCATGTATTTGGTTTATGCTCATTCAGTTCATCGTTTTTTTTAGGGCTAGCTTTGAGTGGAAGTGGAGCTCTGTATCTCTTTTCTCGTAAAGATGGCGTGAAACAGTTGAGTGCGGTTGATAAGGAAAATGGAACAGTAGTTAGGACTCTGGATACTTCAAAAGCAGACAATAAATCTTATTGGATCATTCAAGCTCATGAAAATGTGTTAATGCTGGTAGAGCGGATAGGTTTTCAATACAAATGTGTGCACGTGTACGAAAATGAAGTATATACATCATATACACTTCAGCTTCTCATTAAGTACTCACACCGTAGTTTATCAGTTTTGTGCGGAAGAGACTATGTATTACTGCATACAAATAAAAGCAGACTGGCAATAGTTGATCTCAACCAGTCTGGATCTCAAGCCTAGTTCAAATCAATCCGGTTGGGTAAAATAGAAAGTATCCATTCACTAGTGTGGATAGCGAGAGGAGATGAGGTCAGTGGAGAAGGATATCTATTTGCATCAGAATCTGAAGGTAATGCATTCAATTCTCATGTGTATGAGTTGAATGTGAAGAGTGTTGTGGATGGTGCTCTGCTGAAGCCACTGCAGGTCCCATTCATGAACAGTTACGGCTCTAGAAACGTTTTGTTCGGATGCGCAATGGGAACAAATGCTGTTTTTTGCACAGACTTATGCGGCAAACAAAAGTCCGAGTACAAGAATTATGAATATCCAATGAACATTTTGAAATTGGAGAAAGTCATCCATCGATGAAAAGAGTTGGAAAGCAATAACAAATACTTAATGGCATCAAACCTACATGCAATGAATTAACATCAAATTGAGTAATAATTTTCTCAATAAATTGTCAATTTCCCAACCTACTCAGCACAACAGTTCCTTTGAAGCAAAGCAATTGAACATGTTTGTCTATTTACTTCTTATCTAACTATCCGGCCTGTCAAAGCGTAGTCTTCAAACTCATTTCAGCAATCGCAGAAATGAAGTTTCATTAACATTAAAAACAAAGAATATTTAGGGGGAAAATTTTTGACGAAGGAAGCTAATTGAAGAACCCTGCTTTAACAAGAGAATCCTTATTTTGAGTTGATGAAAGTCATGCGAGGAAACGTCCTTCTGATGGGTAAGCTGAAAATTTATAATTTTAGAAATGGTGATAATGAGTCACGGTGGCATCAGTTTATTGTTTTAATGAAGATAAAAGTATAAGTATTGTAATCTTTGCCTAAACTTTTGATAGCAACAGAACCTTCGATTCAGTAGAACAACAAAACAGCCCTTTTGGCCGAAGCAAAATTAAAACAAAAATCTTGGAAAGTTGATCAACATAACAACTTTAATTTCAATTTTTACAGTGTTTTCGGTATACAGGTCTCGATCCAGACATATATATATACACATTTTTGTTAGGATTACACGGAATTCAAATACAAATTTTTTTCACAAAGTTTTGTTTGGCGTGCGCTTTTTAATTACTCTTTGCGCATCAGAATATCATCATTGGCCAACTTGAAGTAGTGGAACTGTTTTTTTTGCTACTAAAAAATAATTAACAGTTGAATTAAGATTTGAAGTTGTAAAACAGTATATAAAAGAGTATCCGATACTAAGTGTATAGCCTGTGCTACGAAACAATGCCGGTTGCAAGTCTTCATCTCGCAAAAGTCATTAAAAAGAATAAAAATAAACATCAAAACTAAGAAAAAAAGAAACTTTTTTGGTTTACAAACAATTAAAAAACTTGCTGGCTCTTCCGTGGTTTCAATAGAATTCAAAACTTTTGCAAACAATTCACATCTAATGATTTAAAAAGAATCTTTCACAAAACTCTTTCATCGTCTAAGCGAAGGTTTCAATCTTTTACGAATCATACAAAAATATCTTGCAAATCTTCAAAGTATTCTAGTCTGAAATGAACATTAAACACCTGTGAGAACCTTAAGAACTGTTCTACACCAATTCAGATTCCAAAAACATTAAATATTTTAAAAGCAAACAAAACTGCTCGTAAATAAGGGTGAAGCCCTGAAGGTTCCCACTGCCCTTTAACCCAAATCAAATATTTGTTAGGAAAAATATTCAAAAACTTTAAATTTTGGACAATATCAACGAGTATGAAAAATTGAGCGTTACGAAAATAATACGACTGATAAGCTAGCCTTTATCTAAGTTGGAACATTTTTTTTTGTGCTGGATAGTTCGCCACGCATAAAAATTTCGCGCTACTTTTTCAGGATTTTTGATAACATCTAGAAAGTGCACATAAAGTAGTCCAGATCATGGCTAATTTGGCAATTTTCAAACTCCCAAAACTTTGCAAAAATGATCGGAAGTAAAATATCTTTTTGATTTTGATTTTAAGGAGTAGATATCTTCAATGGGGCAAAAAACATTTTTGTTAAAAACTATGATTTTGATTGCCGTAAACTGACTGAAAAAAAACCATATTTCGTTTTCTTCGTAAGTCGGAACAAAAAAACCTAGATTTTTTTATACTTTCTGATGATCTTCAATAGAAAAACAATGTTCTGCACTGGTCCTATGATATGACAAGTTAAATTTATTTTGGTTTGTTTTGATTTCATTTTTCAAAACAAACCAAAATATTTCATTTTGATTTGTTTTCGTTTTACAAAAACAAATCAAAATTTTGTAGAACAACAAAAATTAGGAGGATTATGTTTTTGTTACTAAACTGAGGGTGTGTAATAATCAGAATGATCGCTATTAGATGAGATAATGAAAACTGAGAACTAAAACAGTCCTTTCTGACAATTTTTTTCAATTTGATTAGTCTAACGAAGATTAACAAATTTTAAATTTTCATCGAAGATTAACAAGTTTTAGATTAACAAGTTTTTTCTGTCAAGTTTTAAATTTTAAGAAAAAAAATTTTTCGAAACAAAAACAAGAAAATAAACTTTGGATAACTTAAACTGTTACAGTTTTTTATCATAAACTGATAATAAAACTGGTAACTCATGATTTTCTAACTAAGTAGTGTTTTTCCTTGAAAATGCTGATTAGAAAATTAAAAATCCTTACAAATGACGCATGGTACGAAAATGTAAATTTTTTAAATTGTAGTGCTCGCTTGGGTATGAAAGCTCGAACTCCACATGTATTTTTATCATGTCAGTATAAAATTATGCCATTTCAAACTCTGGCAAACAAAAATATATTGATTTTCGTTGATTTTTTAAAGAATAAGCGGTGACCGTGAAAATAGCACAGAATGTTCCGACCATAGTCTTAAAAAACACACGATTTTTCTATCAATTTAGTGTCGTTTTTTCTGTTTGGTGTAGAAAAACGATTTGAACAAAAAAAAAAGAAATAGGAATTGTCGACAGCCATAGACAAAAAGGCAATTGGAAAAAATCGTATTAACTTTTTTTTAATTCTCGATTTTTGTAAAAAGTTTTTGAATTTGAAACAATTTGATTCCCAAAGGAGCTAAGAAACTCCAAAAACTATTGCTATTTGATTAAAACCAAGTTTTTACTGCTCAAATTAGGCTCAAGTAAGATATTGTAAGCATGCACGCTGACCTTATTAGTTCGAAATTCAACCAAAAAGAAAAAAGTTTTAAACCGGTCTTACTGAACACTGAGAAAATTTAGTTTTTTCAATGTAGTTTTTTAAAATTGCGTCTGAGGTCAAAATCTATATGATGAGCCATAAGGGCAGTTTGACGTTAAACTTAGAATCACGATTGTCGTTCGAATTACGACTGAAAAGCTTTAAAATGATATATAATTCGACCCAATCCGATGATTATTTGTGTTACCTGATTTTGCGTGGAAAAGAAGCGTGGAAAAAAAGAAAAAAACTAAAACTCAACCGAATACAAAATTTCGCCGCATTTTTTAAATGGCCGGAACAATTACACAAATATAGCTCTCTTCAATCCAAATTATGTGTTTGTTGAAATAGGAGCATATTTTCACATTTCAAAACAATTCAAAAAAATTCCCAGTGAAAAAATATTGGAAACTAATTCTCAAAACTGGGAACTTGAAACAGATATAACTAGGACCACTGATTCAAATTAGGCTCACAAAATTTTAACTTTGACACAGCAAAACTGTTGTACCCTAAAAATGAAGAAAAAAATTATTTCCAATCAGATTTGAACCTGATCATCTGGCGTCTGAGGAGGTCAAAATCTATATGATGAGCCATAAGCGCAATTTGACGTAAAACATTTAAAAAAATTCAAAAATTTATTTATTTTCCATTTTTTTCCTACCATTTCCAAGAGCAAATGTCGGATTTCTCCCAGTATGTTGTTTTCAGGCAAAGTTTTCATTTAGTTTTTTCATTATTTTGAAAAGCAAATCACAATGGGAAAACCCCATGGCAAACGGGGTGATAATTTTGTTGCATCGGTTTTATGAACGCCAAATGCAGAAACGTCAAAAAGTCGCGGTGGCTCGTTAAAAGTGAACTAAGCGCCAGCTCGATGGAAGGTTTGTTGGAAAAATTCCGACCTCATGTTCACAAATTTTCCTGATTAAGTTTAAAAACTGAATAAATGTACGCTCAATAGACGCCGGTGATGAAAGGCTGCATAAAACATATTGAAAAAGACGTGCTATTTCTGAAAATTGTGGAGGTAAAATTTTACAGCATACACGGTAATAACATACTGCGCCACTAACAAAGTTATTGGAAACCCCCCCCCCCCCCAAAAAAAAAACTTAATGCAATTGTCTATACATGCTGCGAGATTGATAGTTCCGAGATACCAACTCGAGCTGTTTATGAGAACGCCAAGCGCTTATCGGCGGGAAGCACCGACTACACACATCCATAGCCAGACTAGCCGAAGACTTTTATTTAACTTCACTTTGCTAAGCGACACACTTTCGTTTGCGAAACGACTAAAATTAAGGGCAACTAAAGACTAACCAAATGTGTAAAAACTGGCGCCAAAAAGGGGCGAATTGTGCCACTAAAATTGATATCGGCGATATGTGCGATGAAGATGAAAACGAGCTTTATTCATTCTACACAATCTCATGAAGTGTGGAAAAAATTTCAGCTTCAATTTTATTTTTTATATGAACTATATATCATTTTCAAAAAATATCCAAATTCCGATCATTCCGTTTTAGTATTGCACAAACTAGTGCTGCAAAGTTGCGATGGTCGCGAGCAGAACCAGAATTACGTCACCAGACTCGGCATAACAGAGGCTCTTATTACTATAATTGGAAGATCAAAAAGCTTCCAAGTTCAGGAGTCCTGCACTGAAACTCATACCGGAGGGTCTGATATTCTAACACTTGAATCCGAATGGATCGATAAACCTCAACTCTAAGTCGGAGCGAAAGAAACGACTAGTTAACAGATAACATTAATTCAACTCTCTTTTCTTATTGCAGTTAGAGTTCGTCCTCTCTGTCTACCCAGGTCAAGTGACCAGCCATCTAGGAGTTGAACATAAGATTCTTTATAATATAAATAACATACATAAAAGGTTAGTTTGTCGATCCAGGCTGGATGACATTCTCCGTTGACAACAAAAATTTATAAACTATTGTTTTTTAAATTGAGTTTTAAAGTCCCCTTAGGACTGATAGCTTGAGTTTTATAGTCCCGGTAGGACTCTTTTGGCATCATTTTTCAGTTTGTGTGTCCTGCTTGGCAGTTTCTTCCCCCTGACTTTCGTGCTCTTCGTCATCATCATTCTTCTCGTTTTTGTCCACCTCACTTTCTTGACAAATTTTAGTGTTGATGAATAGAATTTCGTCATTTGTGTCGGTTGGTTCGTCTTCAATTGGCGGCGAAATGAAATCCACAACCTCGGTTTGATTTGTCTTGTTTTTCGGGCTAATTGTTTCCAC